AAAAAAAAAAAAAAAAAAAGAACATTTCTTGTTTAAAGTGAAGACCATGAATATGCTTTTGGAGAGAACCCACTGATCAGAGCCTTGCAGGTTATTTGGGGTGACCTGGGCCAGACCTTTGTAAACACAGAATGCTGCATCACCCTGAATGACCAGCAGATGCTGCTGTTGAACCACAGCAAGAGTTTTTGGTGGTCCTGGGCGCCCTATTGTACTACATCGTTCACACCCTTATTTAATGAGGCTGTCCTGTGTCTGGCATCGTCAATGCTTTTAAGCAGTACTGCTCTTACTTCCATTGTCACTTAACTGAAACTATGTATGACCTCCTATCTATGTAGCTTTTTCAAATCAAACTTAAAAATGTTTCACCAAGGTACAACCCCACCGGTCACTTGATATTAATGGCTTTTTCCTTCTACACAGAAGAAGCATCCTTTTTTCTTTTTCTTTTTTAACATTTGGTACAGGGGCTTGCTACACAGCTTTGGACTCCGTGATTTTCCTGTCTCAGCCTCCCCAGCACTGAGATTACAGGCATACGCAGGCACCCGTGTCCAGACCTACACAGCATGTGGTACAGGAGATCAAACCCAGGTCCACGTGCTTGCCAGACAGGCCCTTAGATCTTGAGCTAAAACATCTCCCCAGCTGAAACATCCTTAATTCCCCTGAGCACCACTCAAGGCCAATGCTTCAAGGCCCTTTCTGAACTGAGGCTTCCTTTTAACTTAATTTCCTGCCTGTCTCTGCTTCCCATATGTGACCCCTGTGTTCTACTTGCCAAGTGGATCTTTCTGGAACATAGCTGGATTACAGTCCCTCCCTGTTGCCTATGAAATCAAATCCACACCCTTATTCAAAACCCTCAAAGGACTGCTCACCTAGTTTAATCTACTTCCCAAAATAGAAAAAAAAAAAAAAAAAGGCCAGGTGTGGTAGGGCATGCTTGTGCCTGTAATCCCAGCCACTGGACTGCTGAGGCAAGAGGATTGCCACCATTTCAAGGCCAATCAGAACTACACAGCAAGACCCTGTCTAAAAAAAAAAAAAAAAAATTACCTTCCTTATGGTAATTTTATCATACCCCATTAATCACCAAAATTTAGCTTCCTAAGAAAAATGTTTTTTGATGGGTATAGGGACACATACCTGTAGTCTCAGTCTGGATAGGACTATATGTGCAAGCAAAATAGAAAATGGCTGAAGATATACAAAGAATCAGAAATACAGTGAATAATTAAATTATTGCAATAAAAGACATTACCATTAATTCCCCTTAAAGCAAACACACACACGCACACGCACATGCACACACACACACTCTCAGCATTCTTGGTGCTTTCTTTCTTACTTTTTCTGTATTTAGGACAGGGTCTACAGGGTCTCACTACATAGATTGGACTTGTAATGATTCTCCTGTTTTCAGCCTCCCAAGTGCTGGGATTACAGGTGGGCACCATCGTGCCCTGTCTCCATCACTGGCTCAGGATGTCCTGCAGGCATGCTGGGAATCAAACTTTGGCCCTTGCCCTCTACCTAAGCAGGTGCTTTAGTCTGCTGAGCTATCAGGCTGGCCCTCTCTTGATGCTTTCTAAAGCAGTTTTGCAAGTCCTATTTGGTGAGTGTTGATCAAAATTACAGTGAACACTGCTGTTGAGTGTCATCCGATGGAAAAGCAAGCTTCTACAAACAGTACAATGTGTTCTTACTGTCCTTGTCCATTGGAGACGATGCTGACTTCTGGCTCTTCCTTAAAGTCAAAATGACCGTGAAAGGTAAACTGTTATATCAAAACATCGAGGCAAGTATGACAGCAACTAGACAGTCAACAAAGGACTTTCTAAAGTGGCAAGGATGATGGGATACATGTGTTGGAAACAAAAGGAACTGATGACAATTACTCTTTTGCTGTAGTAAGTTTTTTATTTAATCACAACTATTGTACCTTATAGGCTAGTGCAATCCCCAATACTGTACCAGAAAAAGAAAAACTTTCCTGAGAGAGGGGCTATAATTTAAAAGTATTATTTTTGTTATTGATATTGTTAAAGATAGGGTCTTGTTATATAGCCCAGGCTGGTCTGGGCTAGGTCTCAAATTGCAGAGATCCCCCTGCCTCCTGCTTCACAGTTGGTATTATAGGTGTGTGCCACCATTTCCTGAACAGAATTTTAGCAACTTAAGATCATCCATCAGTTTTCCCCAACAGCTAGGCTAATCATGTTCATATTTTGGTGTTTTGTTTTGTTTTGTTTTGTTTTGTTTTTGTACCAGGAATCAAACTCGGTACCTGGCGCTTGCCAGGAAGGCGCTTGTGCCACTGAGCTATATCTCCAGCCCCTCCTTTTGTATTTGTTGAAGTGGGCACCTGTAAGCCCAGAGACTGTGATGTGGATCTGGGGAATTAGGAGGGTTCTGTCATAACCCATTCTAAACCACTTCTAATGCAATGTGTTAATTATTGAAACTGTCCTACCAATTTGGTTTGAAACTGTCTCATTGCTATTTGTTTCTCAATAAAATTATGGAAAAAAATAAATAAAAGAAAAATTTAGAGAAGATTAAAAAAGTAAAAAAAGGGGCTGGGGAGATGGCTCAGTGGAATAAGCACTTCCCTGGCAAGTGCAAGGGCCTGAGTTCAATCCCTGGTTCTGCCAAAAAAAAAAAAAAAAAAAAAAGTAAAAAAAAAAATGACTTCTATTGTCTAGCCTCCTATTTTTACCAATGGAATATTAAGTCTCTTTAGAGGGAAGTGTTTTGTAAGGATCTTACCACATATTTATGAGACCTGAGGTATCCCAATGACATTTGGGTGTTTCTGCTTCTGTTTTGTTTTTGTTTTTCTTAAAAGCTTTGCTCCAGTCATCCAGAATGGCCTTGAATTATGTGGCTAGCTTGGCCTCCAGCAAATTGAGATGAAATTCACAAAACATAAAATTACCCATTTTAAATGGTTGAGGTAGTTAACCCATTAAACAGTTACTCCCTTGTCTTGGCCACCCAGGCCCTGGCAACCAACTGATCTTGCTTTCTCTCATTTCTGGCCCCATTAACCTGCCAGATGCCTCCCTCCCACACACCACTGCCCCAACCCCCTGAGGCCTTTGGTCAGGTCTCTCCTTGTGCCAATCATAGTCAAGGCCCTGTCAAACTTACAGAGATTTTTTTTTAACACCCGCGCCTATTACGTCACGTCTCCCAACTCATCTCCCATGGCACACAGTAGGACCTGGGTAGTTAATTAGGCTGGGATCAATCTTCACTGAAAACGCGGAGGGCATTCTGGCGCTGAACTCAAGAACTTTAAAGTGTTTTGTCCGCTAAAGTGGACTTAGCTATTGTGTAAAGCATGACCGTGTTGTTCTAACGGTATCATCCAATTGTTCTTTCATCAAAATAGGAACTGGCGGCCAGTTCGGGAGAGGCTACAAAGTGAAGCCAGGGTCAAATCAGGGACAAACCGTCCGGAGACAGGTCACATCAAGGTGTCCCCCCCTCGCACCTCACCCCCGCCTCGCCGCGCGGCAGTTCCCGCGCCCCACGTGGGGTCTCTCGGGCCTTTCTGGGGGGGCGGGGGCAGGCTCTCCAGCCGCACCTCCCCCACCAACACCCCCGGCTCCCCGCATACTTGATTGGCCGGGCCTCTAAGGAGACAGACACTGCCGGACCACAGCCAGGCTGCTGGGGACCTGTAAGCGCCGAGAAGGCCGGCGGGGGGCGTGGCCTGCGCGGGGCGGGGGGGAGCTGCTTCCGGGTGAGCCGCCCCGCCCCCACGTGGGCCGGGGAGACCTGAGCGGGCGGCTGCGAAAGCTGGAGCAGCGGCGGCTGGAGTAGCGGCCCGGAGCAGTTTGAGAAACTGGTGAGCTGGGCGGGCTCCAGAGGTGGCGGGCCTGGAGGGTCGTTCCAGGGCGAGGCGGGCTGTTGCACCCCGAATCCCCAGATTGTGCTGTGCGCCTGGAGCGCCAGGGCTGCAGCGGGGCACGGAGACCCCCTGTTTGAGCTTGATGATCCTACAACAACCTACGTTGCTTGCCCCGCGTCTCCTTCCAGGGGCCCACCCCACCTGCCGAGACCACCGAGGCCGCTGTGAGAGTGCGGAGGTGGAGGTGCCTCGCGTCCTCCAGGAGGGAGGTGGGGACAATAAGAGCCGCTGGTGCGCTGGTGCTAGGCGCTGCGAGCCTCGGGCCATTCAGTCCGTACAACAGCCCATTGAGGTTGGTTCACATCTCCGTGTACCACATGAGGAAATTGATGTCATGGGGCTGGAAAGTGACAAAACCAGGATTTGTGCCCACATCTATCAGACCCCAGATCCCACATACCTAACCACCCAGCCAGCAGAGGCAGCCAGGTCTAGTCACAAGTCTATCCCTTTCCTCTTCCCACTCCTTCATCTGGAGCAGTTAAACCCCTGTCTGCTGGAAAGAAATGTTGACATCTGGCTGTACAGTACAAGGATCGTGGTGGACCTTGAGAGCTGGGCAGCTAGAGACCCAAATTCAAGCTCAGGTTTGCAACGATGCCCACTTTCAGGGTTAATTGATGTAATCCACAAGTTTAAGATGCCTGTTGGCCCGCATGTTCTAGGAATCTTTAGAGAAGGTGGCCTGGCCTTGTAGCTCCAGCTGGCTGAGCTAGAAGAGAGTGAGTTGGGCCAAGGAGATAGCTCAGTAGAATAAGCGCCTGCCTGCCAAGCTCAGGGTGCTGAGTTCAATCCCCAGTAAAGCAAAATTTAAAAAAGAGAAAGGATCTTCAAAACACTAGGGGTTTCATTCTTTTTATTTCTTTTATTTACTTTTGCAGTACTGGCAAGCGAACCCAGAGCCTTTGTACTGAATTACATCGCTAGACCTTTTTAAGTTTGTTTTTTGTTTTTTGTTTTTTTTTTTACTTTGAGACCCTAAGTCATTAAGGTGCCAAGACTGGGTTCAAATTTGTGATCTTTCCGCTTCACCCTTCCAGAATGCAAGGATTACAGGCATGCCTCACCAAAACAACTTCATTCTTCTCTATAGCCCTCAGTCTAGTACTGCTACATGGTGGGGGGCACGAAATAGATATTCAGGAAATACAGCTTCATTGAACAGGCAGCGGATTGGTCCCTTTACAGACCTGCCTGATAGCTGATGTCCTGGGCCCTCCTGGGGCTCTGGATTTCTCAAGCTGGCCATTTCGCCTAGCTGGCTCTCCTGCCTGCCTCAGTGCAGAGCTTGCCAAACCTGGCACCAGCTACCCACTGTCTGTGCCAAGAGCTCAGCCTCTGGAATCTCAGCAGAGCACAGTCTGGAATGCTTAAGCCCTACAGATCTTTCTGTGCCCCTCCTGGTGGCCACTTGTCAGGGTCCAAGTTAAGTCACTTCCAGGTTAAGAATGTTGCCTTGTAAGGAGCCTGAGACCTTCACAATCAAGCTGAAAAGCTGTCCTTCAGAATCTCACCTTCCATGAAGCTGTCCTTGTTTCCTAGAGATGCATATTCCTCCCATAGCACATGGGCCACCCTTCTACCCTGGCATCTGTGCTACACCCTCAGATATCTTAGAACAGTCTGTGGCCCACAGGGTTTGAAAAAAATGTCTTCTTCTCTAGGGACATGATAAGATGCACAGCACTGTGCCTGGAGATCTCATTGCAGCCCAGCCCTACTCAGGATAATCTTAGAAGCAGCTAAAGGTTCCATACTTGGGTCCAGACACATATCCCATCCCTATTTCTAATCTCCACAACCTTGCAAATTTGATAACATCAGCCCATTTCATGTATTATGAAGTGAAAGGTCTGAAAAGGCCACCAACGTTGCCCAAATTACAGTGCAGAGCACCAAACCTAGGGCCAACCCTGAAACATGGTGCTTTCTACACCACCCAGTATTGCTTACCAGTGAAACCTGTTCTAATGCGGGCTGGACTTCATGGTGGCTTTTCCTCATAAGGTTGTGATATAAAATTTAAGGTGAGTTTTACAAGCTCCTTGAGTTTGAAAGAGGTGCTCTCCCAGCATGTGGGAATCTCCCAAATTTTGAGGGACTTCTCAGAAAGCAAGTTCCTAGCCTGGCGTTGGCCCTGCAATTCTGGCCCCTTTCCTACTGCACAGGTGTGGGGTGTTTTTTTTGTTTGTTTTGTTTTGAACCAGGAATCAAACTCAGGACCTCACACTTGCCAGGCAGGCACTGTGCCCCTGAGCTATAGCCTAGGCCCTGCACAGGTGCATTAAGTTCCTCTTATAACCCTCTGACTGTGGTAAAGGTCACAGCATACTGAACTGGAAGCCAGGATCCTTGGGCTTAGTTCCTAGGTCTGGACCTCAATCTTTATAATGTCACTGAGTCCTGTGGCCTCTCTGAGGCACCCTACTGTCCACATTAAGGTGTAAGAGATTGCATAGGATGGGTGATTTCAACTTTTTAATTCTTCTAGCACTAACACATCCAATTTCAACCCAATTTTTCAATCAAATCTCTCTCTGACCCAAAATAGAAAACCATATCAAAGAAGAATTGCTCTCATGAGCCCCTGCCCACACTTTTACCCTCCATACCGCTTCCAGGCTGCTGAGGGAAACTTTGATAGCTGCTCCTAGTAGACCCCTATCAGTTGCTTGTGACAGAAAATGATAGTTGCTCTGTCACCTGCTTCAGAGTTGAGGCCAGTGGAATGCAGCTAAGGATTCCAGAAGCCAGGGCCCTGTTAAAAAAAATTGTCCTCAAGAAGATCAGTCAGGGTGTGGGCTCGGCTTCAGAATTAGACTTGACTCTCCAGAATGACCCTGAGGGAGTCACATAACCCTCTGAACTTCTGTTTCCTTATCACTGCAAGTTAAAACAGTTTATTGCACTGCAGGGCCATATGCCTCAGACTATTTTTCTATTCCCTCTGTCCGGTGCTCAAAGCAGAAAGTATAGATACCTACTGAATCAGATGCTTACCAGTAATATAGAAAATAATCCGTAAAAGTCTACAACAAACTGAAATTCTGGCTTAGTCACTAACTAGAGTGTGGTCTTGGGCAAGCTATGCAGCCCCTCTTATGTGAGGTAACTCCTGGCAGATAGGAGAGCACAGTGTCACACAAAAGGCACAGAGACCTCGTACCTGCTGAATGCCCATCATACCTCCCAGAGATATCTGTGGGTGGCCTGGCCTGCTCTTGTGTGGCAGCTGGCTCACCCAGGGGTGTGGGCTAGGGTGGGTCTCTGTGTGGCTCCTGATAATCCAAACCCCACCAAGGAGGAGATGGGATAAGATGGGCCCCTGGGCTGGGCAGAAGGAAGCTAAAAGGGTCAGAGACATGGGACAGAAAGGTAGCACCCACAAACTGAAGGATCCCTTGGGGATCCGGTGAGGCCAAAAGCAGCTGGTCCTGCTGTTTTACTTTTTGACCTGCTGTGTGACTCTGAGCAAGTCCTTGCTTCCCCTGGGCTGTGAGGTCATGTTTGTACAAGGAGCCATTGCAGTTGGGCCTGCCACCCCTTGATTTCTGTGGCTCTCTTTTCCCTTCCTACATACTCGGCCAGGCACCTGCAAAAGGAAATGTCTGAAATGAAGCTCCTGCCTCTTCCCCAGGGTGGTTTCCTATGCCCTCTTCCTGCCCTATCCCCATGTGTGCTGTGGAGACTCTTGGCCGCTTGGAAATGGCCTTTCCTTCTCCACCTCCCACTGCCTCCCCCCAGCTTCTGTGCGTCTCTGCTTCCGGTCTGCTCTGCTCAGCCTCAAGATTTATCTTCTTAAAGCCAGGCTTTGACCAGGCCATGCCCCCATTCGCTGCTCTGAAACTTCCCTGGCCTCAGTCTGGCCCCACTTGTCCCTCCCCTCCCATCATCCTGCCTAGTCCCTGGAACCCAAGCCACGCTCAGCTCCCCTTGTTCCCTTTATTCCCTTGCTGAGTGAACACTGTCGTTTGACCATGCCAGGCTGAACCTGTGCATCCTGTAAGACCAAAAGCAAGGTCCATCTTCAGCAAGCCCCTCCTGCTGCCTTAGTGCGCACTGGAACCGTGCTCAGATGTGGCCGGCTCCTCTGCCCCAAGGTGCACTGTCACCTGTGAAAGTGCCTAGGATGGCCTGGCATGCACACACGCGGTGCCCTGGAAACGTGAATTCCCTACTTCCTGTGCCTTGTATCACTTATAGCCAGACCTAGTGGCGCACACTTGTAATCTCAACTCTTAGAAGATCTGGGCTGCATAGTACATTCAAGGCCAACCTGAACTGCACAGCAAAACTGTGTCTCAAAACACAAAAACATGGCTTATTTGGCATGTAGAGCTTATTGTCTTTGTGTAATTAAATATTTACTGTGCCAGAGTCCACATGGGCAGAGCTTGGAGTGGGGGACAAAGATGAACTCACCCAAACCCAGCCCTGTGGAGACTCCCCTCCTGGGCAGAGGGAGATAAGACAGTCCACAGATACCTGTTGTGTAAGAGATTGCAATGCGTGGGCAGGAAGAAAGCCGAGCAGAGAGGGAAGGAGAGCCTGGGGCCCTGGAGAGAGTCCAGCCTGCAAGGTGAAGGGCAAGGGCCTGCCTCAGAGAGCAGGGCGAAGTTCCGCCTGGCTGCAGAAGAGCCTTAGTGGCCTCTCTGGGGGAAGGAAGGGTGTGTGTGTGTCCCTCGGCTGGCATCTGTGTGCTCTTTATGTTCTTGGAGAAATGGGAAACCCATGCCCCATGGTGTTAACAGTGATCTCCACTTGGGGGAGAGTGGCTGGGGGGTTTCTTTTTGCTCATCTGGACTTGTCTCTGGAAGTTAAATGTTAGTCAGGTCAGCACTTCTCCAGGTACATACAGGGAAGGCAGGACTGATTCTTTTATTTTCATTCTTTTTTTTCCAGTCCATTGATTCTGATAAAATTAAAGTACTAGAAAATTCTCCCTTTTTTACCCTGTCACAAAGGATTGAACATGGAGGCTCTGTACAACTGAGCTACATTTCTAGCCAACCCACACGTTTTATTGAGACAGGGTTTCTCTAAGTTGACCAGACTGGTCTTGAAATTTACAGTGTTCCTGCCTCAGCCTCCTGCAGTGGTGGGATTACATTTATGTCATACATGACTCCTGACATGATGTTTTTTTTTTTTTTTTAAACATTTATTTATTTAGTGTGTGTGTGTGTGTGTGTGTGTGTGTGTGGCCAGCTCAGCCCACCAGGGGGCAGGGCTGGCTGGCATGTGGTGCTGGAGGATCGAACCGTGGTCCCTGTGCTTTGCCAAGCCTGCTTCAAGTAGGTGCTTTTAGACCACTGAGCCATCTCGCCAGCCCCGACATGATGTTTTAAAATCACAGTCATAACCAAGCATGGTGATACACACCTGGAATCCGAGCATTGGGAAGCTGAGACAGGAGGATCGCCATGAGTCTGAGGCCAGCCTGGGCTACATAGTGAGTTTAAGCCTAGCTTGAACTACATAGCAAAGCCCTGTCTCAAAACAATAAATAAATAAATAAATAAATAAATAAATAAATAAATAAATTTATTTTAAAATACCCATAATAGGGGCTGGGGAGATGGCTCAGTAGAGTAAGTGCTTGCCTGGCAAGCACAAGGGCCTGAGTTCAATCCCCAGTTCCACAAAAAATAAATAAATAAATAAATAAATACCCATAATAATCTGGATGCTGCTGTGCGTACCTATAATCTCGACACCCTGGGAGACTGAGGTGGGAGGCTAACAAGTTCAAGTTTGTGTAACTTTGTGACTCAGGGAAACTCTGTATTTAAGAATTTTGGATTTATTTATTTATTTATTTATTTATTTTTTGAGACAGGGTAGTCCAGGCTGGGCTCAGATTCATGGCAATCCTCCTGCTCTGCCTCTCAGGTACTGGAACTATAGGCATGTGCCACCATCCCTGGCCAAGACAAATATTTTTAAAAGAGTAGAGATGTATCTCAGAATGCAAACTCTTGGGTTCAATCCCTAGTACCACAAAAATAAAATAAAGGTGCTGGGGAGAAGGCTCAGCAGCCCAAGTGCCTGCCTGGCAAGTGCAAGGACCCGAGTTTGATCCCCAGTACCATATGCCATGCTGGCCCCAGAATCCTTGTCATGCCCTGCTGGCTTCAAAAATCACATTACACACCTGTCATCCCAGTGCTGGGGAGGCTGAGACAGCAGGATCGATGAGTCTGAACTCTGTAGTGAAACCCTGTATCAAATAAGTAAATTTTTGTAATGGCATTTATATAAACTACAAGCCCAAATGTTATATTATGAAGTTTGAATTGCAAGAAAACTTGTAAAAGCTTCCTTGCATTTCTCTTCTTCCTTGGTCAGAGCCAACAAAGTAAACCATGGGAATGGGATTAGCGGGACTGAAGGGCATGTCTTCCCCAAGTAACCATCGCCTGGGGACAGGGACCATGTCTGATGTTCCTTCTACTGCACCCCCATACAGCTAAGCACACAGCAGACACCCCAGCAGGCTCTCTTAAGGCCAGCAGACTGTCCTGAGCGCCACCATGCAGCCCCAGTCTGTTCTGCACAGCGGTTACTTCCACCCTCTGCTTCGGACCTGGCAGGCAGCCGCCACCACCCTCAGTGCCTCCAACCTCATCTACCCTGTCTTTGTCACGTGAGTCACCAAGAATGGGCCCGGGCTGTGATCTGCCCAGGTGGGTAGGTGTGTGTAAGAGCAGCATTAGTATTGCTAGGTGGGCTGTCCCTTGGAGACTCAGTATTAGAGTTGGCCTACTGGGTTAAGGGTAGTGGCCTTAGGAATGGTGAACAGAGCTCAGCCATCCTATTTGTAAAATAAAAAGACTTAGTCCTACCTGACATTCTGAGCTTTTATGATAAAGCCCAAGCAAAAGCCAGTGGCACATCCCTGAGTCTCAGCAGGAGGCTGAGGCAGGAGAGCCTCCATAAGCTGTACTTGGTGACATAGTAAGTTTGAGACAAGCCTGAACCACATAGCAAGACCTTATCTCAAAAGAACACAAAACTAAATTCAAAACAGGGAGAGAAAGAACTACGTCAATTGTACTGTGTCATCTGTACCTAGAAATTTACCTGGCACATCATAAGTGCTCAGTAATGGTTGAATGAGTGAACCCAACCAAGATCCAGGGGAAGGGTTTGATGCTAAAAGAGAGAATCCAGCAGGGCCAGAGTCACCCTCTCAGAAAGTACCTTGAGTAGGAAGCAAGACCTGACTGACTTCAGCGTTTAAGTTCTTACCGCCTTGCTTCTCCCTGTGGTTACTGTTCCTTCAGTGTACTTGTTCTGCGTGTCGCTGTTCTTCTTGGTGTTGCTGTTGTTATTTCAGGCCCTAGCCTTGGCCAGGTGGAGGAGCCAGACGCTGGACCCTTCCACCCTTAACCCTCCCCAGCTTCTCTCCCAGTTACCCCTTCACTACCAGCCCTTCCCACAGCCGCCAAAGCCCAGCCCCACTCTTGCAGGGATGTTCCAGATGATGTCCAGCCCATCGCCAGCCTTCCGGGAGTGGCCAGGTAGGAGGTATGGAGGGGAGGGCAAGGGAATGGAGGAGAGCGAGAGATTTAGCAGGTGGAGGGAGAAACCTGGGGAAGCAGACTTCAGCTAGTAGAGAGAAGGGTGTCCCTGCAGTGCACAGGAGGTGCCTCCTGCGGTAATGAATGCCTGTTACTAGGGCTCCACTGCCAACAGGGAGCTGGTATTTCAGCAGAGGAGCCAGTCACTACCATTGCACAGCCCTGCTGCTTGCAGCCTCAGCTCTCCCACCTGTTTGGTGGTTACCTACCCTGCCCTGCCCTGCCCTGCCCTGCCCTGCCCTGCCCTGCCCTGCCCTACACTGCACGACTTGTGCCCTCCTGGGGCCAGGTGCAGCTTGACTCTTAGCAGAAGCACATGGTAGAAGGACCAGGGAACCTGCCTGCCTTCAGACCCACTGCTTGTCCCCTCTTAGGTATGGTGTGAACCGACTGGAAGAGATGCTGAGGCCTTTGGTAGAAGACGGGCTGCGTTGTGTCCTCATCTTTGGTGTCCCCAGCAGAGTTCCCAAGGTAAAGCATCACAGGACAGTTAAGAAGAGAGGCTAGGGGCTGGGGAGATGGCTCAGTGGAATAAGTACTTCCCTGGTAAGTGCAAGGGCCTGAGTTCAATCCCTGGTTCCACAAAAAAAAAAAAAAAAGGCTGGGCAAGGGTGGGCCAAGGTTCTGCATTGACCATGTCCTTGTTCCTATCTTGTGCTGGCCTTGGGACCATCCAGAATGGTCATGGTATTTGTCCCTAAAACAGCACTCATATAGTATAGGACACTACATAGAGCTGAGACACCCTGATGGGGTAAGCCAGTCCCCTCTCTGCAAATGAGGTTGATCCTCGTGCTTCTCTCCCAGGGGCTGCAACAGCTATATGAGGAGGGGGCTGGGCTGCACTGTACCGTGGCAGCCACCAGCTTTCCCACCTGTTTGATGGATGCCTTCTCGAAGGCTTATGTAGCAAATATACCACTTTGTCCTCCTCCTTTCTCTGCCCCTAGGATGAGCGGGGCTCTGCAGCTGACTCTGAGGAGTCTCCAGCTGTTGAGGCCATCCACGTGCTGAGGAAGACTTTCCCCAGCCTTCTGGTGGCCTGTGATGTCTGCTTGTGCCCCTACACCTCCCATGGACACTGCGGTGAGATCCCTCCCTCCTGCCAGCCCTGCTGACACCCACACCCACTGCCAGTTCTCCCCAGGGTGGGCACCATCCAGGGCCCAAAGAACTCCCAACATCCTTACATCTTGCCCTACAGGGCTCTTGGATGAGAATGGAACATTCCGGGCCGAGGAGAGCCGCCAGCGGCTGGCAGAGGTGGCACTGGCCTACGCCAAGGCTGGTGAGTGAGTCCCCAGTATGGATGGGCATCTCTGGGTCAGAGAGGTGGCAGAGTGGGTAGGAGGGGCCCAGCATTCTGAAGGCCCCCCTTTGCCCCTCAGGATGTCAGGTAGTAGCCCCGTCGGACATGATGGATGGACGCGTGGGAGCCATCAAGGAGGCCCTGATGGCACATGGACTTGGCAACAGGGTACGGGTGGGAAGTGCAGGGTGGGTTGAGGGGTGGGGAGGAGACAAAGCTTGGGCCAGCCCTGTCCCCATATGTGCCAAGAATTGGAGAACTGAGAATAGCGCTAGATGAGGCCGTCACCCATCTCAGCCTCTACCTTAGGTGAGGAAGTTGAGGCCTGGTGCTCTGGTGACACTGGTGTGTAGGCACTCCGTTTCCTAGCCGAGGTCCTTTCTCCCCTTTCCACATCAGCCTGGTACTTTGGCAGATGCTAACTGAGCCCAGACCCCCATTGTGTCCTCATAGGTATCAGTGATGAGCTATAGCGCCAAATTTGCCTCCTGCTTCTACGGGCCTTTCCGGTAAGTGAGGAAGGGCAAGGGTCTGCTGTTAAATCCTAGGTCTGTTAGCCCAGAGCTGGAGCCCACCGAGACTCTGCTTCACAGGGATGCAGCTCAGTCAAGCCCTGCTTTTGGAGACCGCCGCTGCTACCAGCTACCCCCCGGAGCCCGAGGCCTGGCCCTCCGTGCAGTGGTGAGTGCCTGCCCTGAGCCCCACAGCCCACACTTCTGCCCCCATGGCTGCTGCCCGCACTTACCCATGTTCTTAGGACCGTGATGTGCGGGAAGGAGCTGACATGCTGATGGTGAAGCCAGGAATGCCCTACCTGGATGTCGTGAGGGAAGTGAAGGACAAGGTGAGCACAAAGAGACATGGGGGCTCAGGGTGGGGAGAGTTTATCTGAGGGTGCTGGGCCTTGGAGTCTAGGACTCTGGAACCTTAAGAGTTTGAAGACATCTGTCTGCAAACAGGAGTTCTTTGCTCCAGGGCTCCCAAGAGGCTTCAAAAGCCCTGGGGGAACCGTTTTAGAACAGGCTCAGCCACCCACAGCCAGGACTCAGAATGGGGCCCATGATAGCCACAGGTTGGTCAGGGAGGAAGAGGCCCTCAGAGCAGACCCATCTTCCCCTTCCACCCTTGTGCCTTCACTACCCTCTGCAGCACCGCGAACTCCCCCTCGCTGTGTACCACGTGTCTGGAGAATTCGCCATGCTGTGGCACGGAGCCCAGGCCGGGGCGTTTGATCTCAAGGCTGCTGTCCTGGAGGCCATGACTGCCTTCCGCAGAGCAGGTAAGCAGGCAGGGGTGGGGTTTGTGACCTCTGCCATGGGGCCTGTGGTGTACTTTGCCCAGATAAAGAAACCAAGCCACAGGACAGCCTCGACTCATACACCTGCTGTCTAGACAGCTGCAGAATGGGGAAGGGATGCGGAAGAACAGAACATGGAACAGTGACCATTACTTTTTTGGTTGTGAGATTTTGAGGCAGCCACTTCTCTCAACTCAGGGTCCTTATCTGTGAACTAGGGATGAGGTGGAGGATGTCTGGCTGTCCTGGGCTTGCGATCATGTGTGCAGCTGTGTAGGTTGTCACCATGTCAGTGGGAGCAGGTAGGAGTTGCATAGCCCACCATCCTCATCAGCATGGTAGGCTCCAGCCTTGGGCTGACAAGCCTGGGATTGAACAGCAGACCCTGTCCCTCCCTGCTTCCTGGAAGGGCCCACAGAAACAGGAAGCAAAGCACTGGCTGCTGTGGGGAGATGGAGTGGGAGGAGAGGGGCCAAGGCTCAGCATGTCCAGATGTTGCAGGCTGATGGGGTGGGGAGAGAAAAGGCTTCAACCAGGAAATGCCTGTAGCAAGTCTCATTGCAGGACAGGGTCTTGACTTCCCTGTGCCACACAGGAGGGAATTGACAGTTAACTGTCTCCCTCACTGCATTGCCTACATCGGCAAACGGAGCCTAGACAGAGGAAATTACTTACCAAGGTCTAGAGCTGCAAGCACACAGGCCGTGCCTTATCATGGTGGCCTTCCCGCGTGGCCTCCCTCTCCCGGGAGGTGTGGCCAGGAGCTGATGCGCCTCCAGTGCCTGCTTCCTGCTTCTCCTGGCACAGGTGCCGATGTCATCATCACCTACTACACACCCCAGCTGCTGCAGTGGTTGAAGGAGAAATGATGGAGAGAGGGTGCAGGACCCAAGGACCAGAACTCGAGAAAACTCCCAAGGCCTTGGTGAAGTGAAAGCCAAAGTAAATTCTGCTTTTAGAACTGTGGCCATGCCCTCTTCCTGCTCCCATGCTGGTGGGGACCCAGCACCTTGACTGGTTTCTGCCTCCGCGCTCATCTACCACTTGCAGCCACTTCTTGAGGGAACCACTGGCTCCCTTAGCCCTGGCCCCCAGCTTGGCCCCGTGCAGCCCTGACATCACCCCTTGCCCCCAACTCTCCTCTGGTGTGCTTTCAGCTGGGCAGCAGTTGAGTTCCTGCACAGGGTTGGTGGCACCTGGAGAAGAAGGCCTTGGAGCCTTGGGCAAGAGGACAGCTGTCCAGTGTGCCATCCCAAAAAGCTTTAGGAAACCTTGGCCCTCTAGTAGCAGCTCTGGGTGCAGGATTGAGGCCTAGCTTCACGTCCCTGGTTTAGAGGCCAGTTGTGCTATGGTTCCTTGGGAAGCCTTTTTCTCCAGACGGCCAGTGTTCCCAGGCTGCCTGAGATCTGTTCCACCCTGGACCTGGATTCAGAGGTGAATGAATGAAGATCAAAATCCAGGAGCAGAGGAATTCCTGCTGGCAGGAGATGCCGCCACCAAAAAGGCTTTTTTCCCACAGTACTGGAGACTGAACCCAGGGCCTTTGCACTGATCTGCACCCCTGCCATTTTTTAATTTGTATGTTGAACCTGTCTCAGGAAGTTGCTACAATGCCCAGGCTGGGCTCAAGCTTCAGTTGTGTGATATCCACTTTGCTTTAGCCTCTTGGAGTGCTGGTACATACCATTGTACCCAGGTGGTTTGCTTGTTTTAGTTTTGGTTTTGATGGTACTAGGGGTGAAGCCCAGGGCTTGCTCATGGAAGGCAAGCTCCCTATCACTGAGCCATATCACAATACTTATTAGACTTTTATTTTGAGACACTCTTGCGAAGTTTCTCCAGGCTGGCCTCAAACTCATAATCTCCGATCCTCAGCTTCCCAAGTGATGTAGCTAGGATTATAAGCATACTCCACCACGCCAGCCAGAGGCTTTTTATTCACCAGGTATTTCTATATGAACCTCTGCTCTGTGCCCTGGTGCAGTTCTGGGTGCTGGGGATATAGCAGGACAGGTTGTAACTTGTCACTTCATTTAATGTATACAAGAAAGGGAGAAGCAGATTAAAAAAAACAAAAAACAAAAACAAAAACTGATAAGGTAATGACAGCCAGGCATGATGGTGCCTGTCTGTCATCTTAGTACTCAGGAGGCTGTGGCAGGGAAGATTGGAGGATTGCCACAAGTTTGAGCCCAGCCTGACCCAGAAAGTGAGACCTTGTCTTAAATAAATAAATAGCAGTTATAAATCTTGTTAGGGCCTGAAGGAAGGAAAGGGTCTGAGACTAACGGGAGTGGCCCCATTGAGAACATGGCTGGGAAGCCTCTTTTCTTTTTCTTTTTCTTTTCTTTTCTTTTCTTTTCTTTTCTTTCTTTCTTTCTTTCTTTCTGCACTGTCTTTCAGACAGTGTCACTGTGCAAGTCAGGCTGGCCTTGAGCTTACTTTGTATTGTAGCCCAGGCTGGTCTTGAACTCACAACTATCCTCCTGCTTCAGCCTCCTGAGTGCCAGGATTACAGACTTATGCCACCACGCCCAGCCTTGGGAAGCCCTTTCTGAGGCCGAGATCTGTACAAGAAAAGATCTTTACAAATCAAGGCCACATGAACTGCTTGATGTCCACAAAAATGCCATGTAGGTAGGTCTAAGCACCTGCTTAGTAAGCATAAGGACCTGAGTTCGATCCCTGGTACCAAATGCCATGCCACCCCAAAACCACGGGCATGCTGTGCCAGCCACTAAAACCAGGCATGATGGCATACACCTGTAATCCCAGTGCTGGGGTGGCTGAGACAGGCGGATCACTATAAGTCCAAACTACAGGGGCTGGGAGATGGCTCAGTAGAATAAGCGCTTCCCTCGCAAGAGTAAGGGCCTGAGTTCAATTCCTGGTTCCGCAAAAAAAAAAAAAAAAAAAAAAAAAAAAAAAAAAAAAAAAACCCCAAAATTTTCAAACCCCGGTTTTTCCAAAAAATAAAAAAAAAAAAAAAAAAAAAAAAAATGTTATGCAAGCAGATGAGGAAGAGGAAGTCCAGCAGTGGGGCTGGAGGTTGGAAAGGTCAGATTCCACTTGTGGTAGGAAGCTTGCGTTTTACTTTGTGTCTGATCTGATTGGCAAGTGATCTGAAAGGTTTGTGTGTTTTGGGGGGAAGTTGGGCTTTGTTTATTGTTTGTCTTTCCAGCTCAGACTTGAACCCAGCCCTCACAGGAGGGAGGCTGGTGCCCTCCCCAAGCCACACCCATTCCCAGACCTTCAGATAACTTTGAAGAGACAGAATTAGCAGATTTTGCTAAGGCTTTAAGAGGTAGTGGAGACATCTGGCCATAGTGGCGCATGTGTAATCCCCGCACTTGGAGGCTGGGGCAAGGGGATCACCATGATTTTGAGGCCAGCCTGGGCTACATAGTGAGTTCAAAGCTAGCCTGTCCTGTAGAGCAAGACCTTGTCTCAAAAAACACAAAACAACGAGTAGTGCAGAATAAGGGAACAGGAGGAAGCAAGAGGTCCTGCCTGAATTTGGGCTGTAGCAAATGACCTGGGTAGTTTCAATAATCTTTCTAAAACTGGCACATATGTTTTCCTACAGTGAAAGTTAAGCCTCAGTGAAGGGGAAGGCCAGGTGATGAGCACCTGCCCACCTGTAAAGGGACAGGAAATCTCACTGTGGAGCCAAAGCAAGTCTCATGCAATACAACCCACTTTTTAAATGTCGAATGAATTTAAAATTATAAATTCCTAACATCTTCTAAAATCACATTGGTCCCTTCCAGCTCTTAGTGGCAATCTTAGGTACTTTCTCATTGTTGGGACATAATAAAAATACCTGGCACACCCACTATTTAAGGGAGGAAAGGTTTATTCTTTTGGCTCATAGTTCATAGAGGTTTCGGCCCATCGTTCACTGGCTGTGAGGTAGGATGTCATGGCAGAGCCGAAACAGCTCATGTGGCCAGAAGCAGAGAGAGCGAGATCAAGGGAAGGAGGGGGCCTTTCAGGCCATGCACCCAGGGACCCTCCAGCCAGCTTCACCTCCCAATACTGTAAACTGGTAATCCATTCATCTCTCAAAAGCCCCTCAGCTGAGTGCATGAGGCTTTGTGGGGCGTCTAGATACAGACTATAATATCTTACCACTGGTCTCCAAAAGACTTGCCACATCCCCTTATGCAAAATGCATTTAGTCCAATTCTAAGAGTTGCGAAAGTCCTAACAGTTTCCACCTTGATGAAAAGTCCAAATCGCTGCAATTGAAGGCAAGCTCTTAGCTATGAGTCCCACAGCTAATAGGGAGCTAGAAAGTGGTTGGGACCGCAGCAAAACTGAAACCCAGCTGGAAAAATGTAAACCTGGAGTTCCATGCCCAGCACCCAGGGCAGGATGTGAAACTAAGCTCCAAAAGGCTTGGGCAGCCCTGCCTCTAACATTGCCAGTGCTGGTGGCCCTTGTGGTTTCTCGGGCTGCCTTTGCTCACTCCTTGCAGCTTTTTTTGGTTTTTTGAGACAGGGTCTTGCTATGTAGTCCAAGCTGGTCTTGAACTTGATGTGAATCTCAGGCTGGCCTTAAACTCACGGCGATCCTTCTGCCTCAGCCTCTCAGGTGCTGGGATTACCGATGTGCACCACCAGGCCCAGCCTTGCAGTTTCCTTTAGATTTTCCTAGCATCTCCAACTTTCTCCACTGCACTTTTGGCGTCACACTCACACCTTGACACACTGCCCCTCAGGCATGCTGCCTGGCCTCCTCAGCCTCCTGATATCTGGGTGGAAGCCTTCCTGACCCACGGCTATGTGCATGTAAAACCAGTACATAGATGAGGCCAAGGTCTGAGCCAGCTAAAGCAAAATTAGGCCCTCCTGCATCTACTCAGTGGTGCACAGGCCTTGGAATGCCTGGATGGCAGAGCGTAGTAAACTGTATCCCAAGAAACCAGTTCCCTGGGCAGCTTTTCTCAAAGGGCCCACGGACACCCCTTTCAAAGCAAATTTGTTTACTTTTGGTGGTAGGGGTAGCCAGTTGCAATAACTGATCCTTCACCTTAGAAGGGATATCTCAGCATGCCCCACACCATTGGCCCCCGAGAAATTGCACTGAGGTAGAATTTTAGGTGGTAGCTTGAATTTTAGTTGGATTTATTTCCTGTTCTCTGGCACACAAATGTTTTACTGACAAATCCAGAGTAGTTGCTACTTCCTTGCTTGTTTGGTCCAGTCAGATTAATAGCAACATAATGGATCAGTGTGATCCTTATAGAAGAGAAAGACAAGGTCCCTTGAACTAAATTGTAACACAGGGCTGGAGAGGTAATAATACCTGAAAGTAGGACACGAAGGTGTGTCGTTGAATTTATCAGCCGTAAGTAGATTGTTTCTGGTGGGCCTTATGGACTCACCTGTAATCTAAGCATTCAAGAGGGTAAGGCAGGGAGATTGTGAGTTTGAGGCCAGCCTGAAATATATAATGAGACCCTGTCTCAATATAAAAAGAAAAGGAGGCCAGCGAGATAGCTCAGCAGACTAAAGTGCTGGCTTAGGCACTGCTGTTCGATCCTGGCACCACATGCTGCACTAGCCCCACCCCCAAGGGAGGTTGGGCCAGCCACAGAGTCTGGGCATAGTGGTTTACGCCTGTAATCTCAGCACTGGGGAGGCTGAAAACAGGAGGATCACTATTAGTTCAAGCTATGTAGCTAGACACTGTAACAACCAAATAAAAAGAAGAAGGAGGAAGAGGGGGAGGGGGACGGGGGAGGAGGAGGTAGATTAGTGTAAAAGGGAATATTTTTCTAGGCCAGTGGTGGTGAGCCTATGGCGTATGCGTTGTTTTCCTCTTAAGATAAATGACGTTAATGTATGAGGTTTGTTTGTTTCTTAACTAAAACTTCAGTATTCAGACTAATTGCAGTGTTGGCACTTGCGATAAATAAGTGGGCTTTGGGTTGCGCATTGGGCACTCATCTCTTAAAAAGT